AATTAACTTTTTGATTGATTGTTTCTTCCCGCCAAGAAAATAACAAAATGCTTACAACACTAGATATTCCCAGGCGGTCTCCCATCCAAGTACTAACCAAGCCCGACCCTGCTTGGCTTCCGAGATCAGACGAGATCGGGCGTTTTCAGGGTGGTGTGGCCGTAAGCTATTAGAAAGTTGAAATTACAGCTGTTATTGATTTCTTCACTGCATAATTAACTTTTTGATTGATTGTTTCTTCCCGCCAAGAAAATAACAAAATGCTTACAACACTAGATATTCCTAGGCGGTCTCCCATCCAAGTACTAACCAAGCCCGACCCTGCTTGGCTTCCGAGATCGGGCGTTTTCAGGGTGGTGTGGCCGTAAGCGATAAGAAAGTTGAAATTACAGCTCTTATTGATTTCTTCACTGCATAATTAACTTTTTGATTGATTGTTTCTTCCCGCCAAGAAAATAACAAAATGCTTACAACACTAGATATTCCCAGGCGGTCTCCCATCCAAGTACTAACCAAGCCCAACCCTGCTTGGCTTCCGAGATCAGACGAGATCGGGCGTTTTCAGGGTGGTGTGGCCGTAAGCTATTAGAAAGTTGAAATTACAGCTCTTATTGATTTCTTCACTGCATAATTAACTTTTTGATTGATTGTTTCTTCCCGCCAAGAAAATAACAAAATGCTTACAACACTAGATATTCCCAGGCGGTCTCCCATCCAAGTACTAACCAAGCCCGACCCTGCTTGGCTTGGATCTTCGAGATCGGGCGTTTTCAGGGTGGTGTGGCCGTAAGCTATTAGAACAAGTTGAAATTACAGCTCTTATTGATTTCTTCACTGCATAATTAACTTTTTGATTGATTGTTTCTTCCCGCCAAGAAAATAACAAAATGCTTACAACACTAGATATTCCAGGCGGTCTCCCATCCAAGTACTAACCAAGCCCGACCCTGCTTGGCTTCCGAGATCAGACGAGATCGGGCGTTTTCAGGGTGGTGTGGCCGTAAGCTATTAGAAAAGTTGAAATTACAGCTCTTATTGATTTCTTCACTGCATAATTAACTTTTTGATTGATTGTTTCTTCCCGCCAAGAAAATAACAAAATGCTTACAACACTAGATATTCCCAGGCGGTCTCCCATCCAAGTACTAACCAAGCCCAACCCTGCTTGGCTTCGAGATCAGACGAGATCGGGCGTTTTCAGGGTGGTGTGGCCGTAAGCTATTAGAAGAGTTGAAATTACAGCTGTTATTGATTTCTTCACTGCATAATTAACTTTTTGATTGATTGTTTCTTCCCGCCAAGAAAATAACAAAATGCTTACAACACTAGATATTCCAGGCGGTCTCCCATCCAAGTACTAACCAAGCCCGACCCTGCTTGGCTTCCGAGATCGGGCGTTTTCAGGGTGGTGTGGCCGTAAGCTATTAGAACAAGTTGAAATTACAGCTCTTATTGATTTCTTCACTGCATAATTAACTTTTTGATTGATTGTTTCTTCCCGCCAAGAAAATAACAAAATGCTTACAACACTAGATATTCCTAGGCGGTCTCCCATCCAAGTACTAACCAAGCCCAACCCTGCTTGGCTTCGAGATCAGACGAGATCGGGCGTTTTCAGGGTGGTGTGGCCGTAAGCTATTAGAAAAGTTGAAATTACAGCTCTTATTGATTTCTTCACTGCATAATTAACTTTTTGATTGATTGTTTCTTCCCGCCAAGAAAATAACAAAATGCTTACAACACTAGATATTCCTAGGCGGTCTCCCATCCAAGTACTAACCAAGCCCGACCCTGTTTGGTTTCCGAGATCAGGCGTTTTCAGGGTGGTGTGGCCGTAAGCTATTAGAACAGTTGAAATTACAGCTGTTATTGATTTCTTCACTGCATAATTAACTTTTTGATTGATTGTTTCTTCCCGCCAAGAAAATAACAAAATGCTTACAACACTAGATATTCCCAGGCGGTCTCCCATCCAAGTACTAACCAAGCCCGACCCTGCTTGGCTTCCGAGATCAGACGAGATCGGGCGTTTTCAGGGTGGTGTGGCCGTAAGCTATTAGACAAGTTGAAATTACAGCTCTTATTGATTTCTTCACTGCATAATTAACTTTTTGATTGATTGTTTCTTCCCGCCAAGAAAATAACAAAATGCTTACAACACTAGATATTCCTAGGCGGTCTCCCATCCAAGTACTAACCAAGCCCGACCCTGCTTGGCTTCCGAGATCAGACGAGATCGGGCGTTTTCAGGGTGGTGTGGCCGTAAGCTATTAGAAAAGTTGAAATTACAGCTCTTATTGATTTCTTCACTGCATAATTAACTTTTTGATTGATTGTTTCTTCCCGCCAAGAAAATAACAAAATGCTTACAACACTAGATATTCCTAGGCGGTCTCCCATCCAAGTACTAACCAAGCCCGACCCTGTTTGGCTTTCAGACGAGATCGGGCGTTTTCAGGGTGGTGTGGCCGTAAGCTATTAGAAAGTTGAAATTACAGCTCTTATTGATTTCTTCACTGCATAATTAACTTTTTGATTGATTGTTTCTTCCCGCCAAGAAAATAACAAAATGCTTACAACACTAGATATTCCAGGCGGTCTCCCATCCAAGTACTAACCAAGCCCGACCCTGCTTGGCTTCCGAGATCAGACGAGATCGGGCGTTTTCAGGGTGGTGTGGCCGTAAGCTATTAGAAAAGTTGAAATTACAGCTCTTATTGATTTCTTCACTGCATAATTAACTTTTTGATTGATTGTTTCTTCCCGCCAAGAAAATAACAAAATGCTTACAACACTAGATATTCCCAGGCGGTCTCCCATCCAAGTACTAACCAAGCCCGACCCTGCTTGGCTTCGAGATCAGACGAGATCGGGCGTTTTCAGGGTGGTGTGGCCGTAAGCTATTAGAAAGTTGAAATTACAGCTCTTATTGATTTCTTCACTGCATAATTAACTTTTTGATTGATTGTTTCTTCCCGCCAAGAAAATAACAAAATGCTTACAACACTAGATATTCCTAGGCGGTCTCCCATCCAAGTACTAACCAAGCCCGACCCTGTTTGGCTTCCGAGATCAGACGAGATCGGGCGTTTTCAGGGTGGTGTGGCCGTAAGCTATTAGAAGAGTTGAAATTACAGCTCTTATTGATTTCTTCACTGCATAATTAACTTTTTGATTGATTGTTTCTTCCCGCCAAGAAAATAACAAAATGCTTACAACACTAGATATTCCTAGGCGGTCTCCCATCCAAGTACTAACCAAGCCCGACCCTGCTTGGCTTCCGAGATCAGATCGGGCGTTTTCAGGGTGGTGTGGCCGTAAGCTATTAGAAAAGTTGAAATTACAGCTCTTATTGATTTCTTCACTGCATAATTAACTTTTTGATTGATTGTTTCTTCCCGCCAAGAAAATAACAAAATGCTTACAACACTAGATATTCCAGGCGGTCTCCCATCCAAGTACTAACCAAGCCCGACCCTGCTTGGCTTCCGAGATCAGACGAGATCGGGCGTTTTCAGGGTGGTGTGGCCGTAAGCTATTAGAAAAGTTGAAATTACAGCTCTT